TAAGGAGAATGTTCTTTAAAAAAGTTTTAAAATAATAATGAGTTATATTTTAATATATTACATTACAGTCTCTTAAAAGATAATTTTACTAACGCTGATAAAAAATTCTTTTGCTAATTGGATGTATTAATATGATTTAAATCTCACATTTTTACTTCTCTTATTACGTGTAGCCTATGCACAATTCAACTTCATTATTTAAATAAAGGAATTTAATCATAAAAAAATTTATTTGAGAAGATCAAACTATTACGTAGGAGACCATATTACTTACCAACGTACTTCCTAGAAATTAATATGCATGTGACTCTCTATGTAATTAGTACTTCTTGTATTTGGGATAAATTACCCCTTCCACTTTATCATTCTTTTTTGGCTTGTAAAAAATAAAACATGGGATCACACTCTTTGGTTAATGGTGTTTGTGGGTATAGATAGAAAAGTGTGATGACATTACCATTAACAAAGAAATAAAAAACATACTTTTATAATAATGTACGGCATTCTAATTTAGTTAACTGAAGTAAAAGAATATAAATTCTCATTTCTTCACAGTTTTAAGCTTTTATGTGGTGTGTAAAAGAAGGATCTGGATCCTCTCATGTTCAAAATCGAACATGAGGGTCATGTTGATGTAATTTTATACGTTTCACTTAAGCGAGTGTATAAAATTACACCAACATGACCCTCATGTTTGATTTTGAACATGAGGGGATCCTTTTCCGTAAAAGAAAAAAGAATATATATACAAGATTGAGTTTATGTGAATATTTAATTATGGTGCACAAGGATATGCATGAATTGTATAATTTGTATTCTGGCATAAAGGATACCTGCATGCATGGCTGCATCTGATTGATTATAGAAGTCATGGCCACCAAAAATAAACTACAATGCCCATATGAGAAAGTAAGTGAGGGTATGGACTACTACTAGAAAAGCGCCATTTGTTGTTTTTTTTTGTTGTAATTTTTGAAAAATCTGTCTGTAAATTTGTTTATATTACAAACGGATAAAAATCCGTTTGTAATATCTATCTATAGTTTGCCCGCCATTTGACGCGAAAAAATATAAACAAGAATTATAGACATATTTTTTTGTCTGTAATTTGAAAATGGGAGGAAAATTTGGAGCAAGAGTTACAGACAAATTTTTTTTGTCTGTAAATATGACCCTTTTAACCGACTTTTCATGTGGCTATTTACAGACGAATTTTTCTGTTTGTAAATGGAATTGACGAATTTACAGACAGATTTGTCTATAAATGGACCTTTAAAACGCACCGTTTCATTAAACCATTTACAGACATATTTTCCCGTCTATAATGTCTGAAACTCATAAAACTGCGCCTCCCCCTTTCCCTTCCTCATTTTTCATAAATCTCTCTTTCTCTCTTGCCTCTCTCTGTCTCTCTCTAAGAGCTTAGTTTTTTTAGCTTTTGTGAGTGATTGAAGCATCCGTTTGAAAGATAATTTGCATCATTGTGTTCCTGGTATAATACTTTAACTTTTAATCGGTTTATTTTTTTTTTATGTATTTTAGAGACTTAAAATTTCTAAGATAGAGTTATAGAATTGGAGATTGTATGACTGAGGAAGGGCGTAGAGCTCCTTCTCTGAACCTAATTATTGTGTGCTGTGAGATTGCTTGTATTTATGGAGTTTGTAGAATATGCATGTTGTGGAGTTATAAGGGAATGTGCTCTAGAACGGTTAAGGATTGTAATGTGTATATTTTTTATGCATTGATTAATAGATTGTTATATAATATATAGATTATGTGTAAAGAAAATTTAAATTTTTGTATTAAGTACGTGTAAATAAATGTTATTTTATTTTTTATATTATTATTTTAGATGTTTACTTCTTCATTTGTAATGAAATTTTATATTTTACATTTTATAAATAATTTCTGATTTTTAAATATATAATTTTATAGTTTTTATTATGTTTATAAATTTGTGATAATTAGGAACAACTAAAAATAATTATGTTTTTTAAAAAATGAAATAATTTTTTTAAAATTTCATAAACAAATTACAAATGAATTTTTTCGTCTGTAATTTACAGACAGATTTGTCTGTCTATAATTACAAATGGATTTTTCTGTCTGTAAATTACTATCTGTCTGTATTTATTTACCGACGTACATATTACAAACATATTGGAGCCTAATAATGAAAAAATCCGTCTATAAATGCATCTATATTTTCAGGTTTTCTAGTAGATTCTTTTATTGAAAGCTGATGCAAAAGTGAAAAAATATCGTCTCTTTATATCTACATGCAATTTGTCTTAATTTACCCATTCTCACATCTCTTCTCTTTCATTCATCACTTTATGTTTAATATATTGCCACAACTTTAGGTTCATAAAAGTAGAAAATTTAAAATGCTATTTGTTTATTTGCTGTTATTGTTTATTAATTAAACTAAATTCTTATTTTAATAAAAAATAAATTTAATATTATTAAATTTTTTATCTTTAGATAAAGTTATAAATAATGAATGACTTATTATAATGAACCAACATTATATATATTGATATAGACTACAAAATAACATATGCATATGTATGTATAGACTATATGAGTAATGCTATTTAAACACGCGACACCGTATAAGAAAAGAAACTAAGTAATAGATTGCACCAAATTTATTCTACACACGTGCATAGGTTATTAAACCTTATAAAAAAAATTTCTTCAACTCTCCCGTCCAGTCATGCGTCCTGTTTATCTTCTTCTTCAAAGGAAAAAATTTATTTTGCTAATTGTCCAGCCTTTTGTTCATCATCCTCTTCTTCTTCTTGAAAGGAAAAAAAAACTTCTTCTGCTAATCGCCCAGTTGCCTTTCGTTCGTCCTCTTCTTCTTTTTCTTGAATAAATAAATAAAAAAACATTTGAATAACTCTTACCCTTGTTCATGTTCTTGAATGTCCTCTTCTTGAATGACTTTCGCCTTCCTTCTTGTATGCCCTATTCTTCTCAACAAAAAAGAAGCGTTTCTCACTCTCGCCCACTATTCATTCTTCTATGACTCTCTCTCACTTGTTGTTTGTGACCTACTCTTTCGTATATGCATATTGGCCCTTATTCTAGCCTCTGTGTTTTAAAAGCTTGAAATACTGGTTAGGCATCACGTGCAGCATCACAGGTACTTTGCTCCCCTCTTCTTTGGGTTTTCCACAATGTTATGGGTATAGATAATGTTGATGAGTACTCTAAATTTATTTTAGATTCCTCTGTGGTGGCCTTATAAGCAACAGTACTTAGTGAATGTAAGGTAATTTGACATATTAAGTTAGTAATTTTTTGACCTTGGTTCTAGTAATTTAGTATATAAGCTGATAATTCTTCAGGTATGTCTTATATTGATGAGTAATTAGAAATAGTTTTATATTCTGCTATGGTGGCCTTGAAGACCATAGCATTTAGTGAATGTAGGTAATCTAGCATCAAAGTTGGTAATTTTTTGTCAAATATACTCGTAATTTAGTGTATAAGCTAGTAATCCATCGGGTCTATAAACTTGTCTCCTACTCCCATTATTGGACTAGCTAACATATTGAATTAGAAATAATACAATGGTGTATACTGTAATCCTGAGTAATATACTACAATTAAAATGATAACAATTTTTTCTTAAGTGAACTGTATATAGATGGTAATAGACTATAAAAAGCTGGTGATTCAATGTTCAAAGTGATGGTAATTGACTATAGAAGCTGGTAATGTTGCAGTGTGTACACATAATTTTTTTTTCCACTTCTCTAATGTGTGTTACTGAACTTACTTAATTAATGGCTACCATAAGGTTATTTAATTTTTTGTCACCAATATTAACCCATAAGTACGAAATTACTACTAATATGATAACAATTTTACTTTAACTGAACTGTATGAAGATGATAATTCACCAAATAAACCTGGTAATTTGATGTTCAATGTGATGGTAATTGTAATATTAAACTAGTAATGTTGAAGGGTGTTCACGATTTTTTTTCCACTTCTCTAATATGTGTTACTAAACTTAATTAATGGCTAACATAAGGTTATTTGTTTTGTTGTAACCAATATTAACCCATAACTACGAAACTGCTAATAATATGAAGGTGGTATGAAGTTGGTAATTCAATATTCAATGTGATGGTAATTGATTGTAGATACTGGTAATGTTGCATGTTGTACACAAAATAAAAAAATGACGCGAGAAAAAGGACGTGTAGTTGAAGATTCAACAACCTCAAGGTCAGACCAGGACTTTGATCCTAATGAAAATGTAAATTTAGATGAGTATGACTATAATGATGAAAGTAAAGAAGTTATACATAGTAATAAGATCTGTGAACAGTCAAAGAAGTAAACTAAGAATAAATTTGATGGCAAGGTATGTATTTATCAAACTTGTTTCCACTTTATCATTCAGATTGAGATTTTATGTTTGATAGTTGAATTGGAATGCATGTATACGGGCTGTTTTCCTTAGTCGATGCTCACCAAATCATTTACAAACAATTTGTAACATCTTGACACAAGAACAACGAAACACAGTGATTGATGTGGGGTTTGAAGAACTTTTCCATGTTAAATGTACAAGACTTGATAAGAGAGTGTGCTTAAAATTAGTAAAGTCTTTTGATTTACATCAATTATGCATATACGCTAAGAGAGAGGAGATTCAAGTCAACTATCGCGATGTAGGCAAAGTTTTTGGCCTACCAAAACATGGTATGTCAATTGTCCATATTGCATAAGTTAATTAACATAAGGATTATTACTATATTTGTCAAGTTTGAAGGAATGAATATGTCTGATATCATGATTTAAGTTCACTAAATGAGTTTTATAAATATTCTTAACCATTAGTTGCAATTAATTTTTTTACTTAGGAACTATTAAATCTAATATTTTGGATGAAAATAGGATTGAACATTCCAAAATGTGCCACAACGGATGAAAGGGCAATGTTGAGTGAATTTGCAAGAATAACAGATATCCAACTAAGTCAGATTATTGGTGAAGGCAAAGTGGATGATCAGATTAGAAGAGCTTTTATCTTGTATGTTTTGTCATGTTCTAACTTTAAAGATGACACTCTGTCTAAAGCTTTTAGGATCTATCATTGATATAGAAAACATAAAAAGCTACAATTGGAGCTTATTTATTTTTAAGTGGCTTGTAAGGCACTTGAAATCATATAAGGTCAGATAATATAAGAGTAAGACAGTAAGGATTAAAGGTTCCATCTTTTTCCTCAAGGTATTGTAATGTATTACTTGAGTATCTAAGTGTCCCTTTATATTATGCTGTAAAATTAAATTCCAGTATTGTTGCAGGTTTTGTATTTTCATAAGCATCCACTAAGTATCACCGCATTAAACAAAGAATATCCGTGGGTTAAATATTGAGATGATGACATGATAGACAAACAGATTTGGAAAGAGAATAATAACGTGCTGGTAAATTCCATTGAGTTATATCTAACATATCTATTTGTGTTTATATTAGTGTAATTATAACTAAAATTGAAAATGGTTGATATGAAGACAAATTATTTTTAATTAATGATAATTTCTATTCTTGAATAGGGTCTATTGTACCATAGAAAAGATAAAGGTAATATTGTTGACAAAGTGTGGTTGAAAGAGAATTTTGAAATGGAGGTATAGTAAATGTTATTTTGAGATATGAGAATTTATATTTCTTTTTCTGGTGGTCAGTGTATTTTGTCATGTTATGCAATTTTTGTTGTCCATGAGTATAATATTCGATTTAATATGAAAATATAGTTGTTTCAAAACTTGGTTGCAGAGACTATTAAGAGGTATAAGGCATAAGAAGAAGCTACACTTACTGCTAATCATCTTATAGTTTCTGATTCCACAAAGATGAAAGCTTCAAAAAAGAATAAAATGAGAAATAATGATATAGATAAATCAAGCCTAAAAGGCATACATGAAGGTGATGGAGGACAAAGAATAAAATGAGAAATAATGATATAGATAAATCAAGCCTAAAAGGCATACATGAAGGTGATGGAGGACTTACTTGTGCTCCTATTGTCCAATCAGGTGAAGAACATCATCGAAGAATGGCATCCAGTGTCTTATATGAGTATTGTATTAAGAAGTCAATACCACCAGAATAAAAAAAAAAGAGTATGAATTTATATGTCTATCTGTTATAAATATTTGTAATATAATTTATTTAGGCATAACCAATCAAACGTAATCATATTCACATGATAAAGCTTAATCATATTAGAACATTGTAGGCCAAACGATTTGAGGAGATATTCACATTGATTGATCATAATTTTGCCTTTACAAATGTCCACCTACAAATTGAGTACCCAAATGTCCCAAGACAACATAATGGATGAGTTTGTATTTCATATTTCATATATATGAGGTTTGGTAACCTATGCGTATATGTAAAATAAGTTTGGTATAACTTAGTATTTGATTTTTTTTCCTATACTGTGTCACACCTAAATAACATTACTCTAAACTATACCGCATTGCATGCTTTTAATCAGTTTGGGAACTCTTGCATTCTTATGCAAATGAGTCATCCGAATGTAAGCAATTGGTTTTTTGTGCTAGCACCACATGTATGAATCTTGTTCTTGATACGTAGGAAAGTAAAAAAGTAATTTTTTTATTTAAGTTTTTGTAAAATTAGTTAAAAGAAAATTAAGAGCTGTTTTGCGCTTAGATTCTCCATAGTTAAAATCAGGAACTAAATGAAAACTATTATATTTTCAAGAATCAAATGAAAGAAAATAAAATAAAATAGAAAGTTATAGAAATAAAATAATTTATGAAAGAACTGTATAAAGAAATCACATTTTTTTTTATGTTATCATCTCACGCAAAAATCTTGTTCCCGTTACTAAGAATAAATGTTTAACTTTTTAATTGGTTTCCAAACATATGAACTAAACAAAAACTTATAGAAAATTCTGTGGATTCTTGTGTTTCTTAGCAACCAAACATACTGTCAGGGTCAAACAATGATTATTTTTTGGTATACACAAAATAAGGGCATGTCCGCGTACGGTGATTAATTACATCTTTATCTACAAATAACTTTAGGATAACAATATTAAAAAACCCTTCAATATTCATTCCATTTCTAGAGTCCATGTGAAGATCAAGTTTTTGATGAGTCCTAGCTAGCTAGCCATAAACATCATCAGGCATCGATGATAAGGTTTTTAAAGTACGAACATTGGCATCAAGAAGGATCTCAAGTGACTTGGTTTTTCTCTTTCGAACTCTACCTGTTTCCTTCAACAACTCATGCAACCTTCTCTTCTCATAAACAACATCAGGATTTGCTGTTCCAAGTTTTTCTTCCCTCGTACCCACAATGTGCTCCAGAATTTCAATCGCCTCATCCACCCTGAAATACAATTTCAAAGTGCACGACAAAAATAACCTTCACTTGACCATTTATTAGTTAATCATGAACTCTAAAGACTAATGAAGCAATTGATTCCATATTATGCCAGTAAATTTCCAAAGACATAATAATTACTATTTTTTTAATCCGGGTCCTTTTCGTTTCCTTAAGAATACCATCATGTTTTAGTTATAATTTATTTCAATAATTTTTTCCTATAACTTGTTAAAATACGTTGTTTTTAGCTTATATCAATAAATTTTATGATCAAATTTATGGTACTGATTCCAAGCATGCAGTCTCAAGCCTAGCAGACTAATTCTTCACTTTAAAATAAAATAATATGCATTATATTCATTATCAATGTTAATGGCGTGACTTGATTATGTTGCCTAATAATTAATGGCAGTAACTAGAAAGGGCTGCAAATACTCAATCAAGTAGTGAAGGAAGATTTTCAAACAGAAGAATGTAGAACCAAACAAGAAAAGGAACACAGTGGGTGGATACCTGCCCATGGCATCATAGGTGCCAGCAAGATTGCTATATACTCCAAGCGTTTCAGGGTGATAGGGTCCATTCTCTTGTTCCAAAATAATCCTCGCTTCTTCAAATAACTGTGTAGCCTCACTTAATGCATGAAGCTGCACACAAGCAAGTCCCATTTGATTAAGAATAGTACCAAAGTAGGCTGATTTCTTTTCTCCAGTTACACGAAGCTTTGACACAGCATTCTGAAAAGCATTGTAAGATTCAGTATAGTTCCCCAACATGTAGTACATGACCCCAATTTGGGCTTCAATTCCTGCTATTGTGCTTTGTTGACCAGGGGCATCATTATGTATCCCTAGTGCCTTGTGCAGCAGTTTAAGTGCCTGTTCTAGCTCATTCATTGACTCATAGATGGCTGAAACATTCATCAGCCCACTTGCGATCTCCTCTGATGGGACTCCAGGCATGGGATTCTCATAGATTCTAAGTGCATTCTCACAATAAGATTTTGATTCCCTTGTCTTCCAAGTCCTGTTATATAAGTCAGCAAGACGTACTAAGACTAATCCTACAGCTGGATGATTCTCACCTTTGTGGGTCTTGAGAACTGTTAAAGCTCTCTGATATGCAAAGATGGCCTCATCATATCTAGCCAAGGATAAGTATGTGTCTCCAATGCTGCAGTCAACGGATGCAACTTCCACTCCCTCACCGTTTTCCACCATTGCAATGCTTGCCAAAACAAGATGCTCCAATGCTGCTTCATGATTTCCATTTGCTTCACATATAAGCCCCATTAGCCTCCTATCAGCTGCCTCTTCAAGAGATGAGGGTGAACCATTGGCTCTATGAATGTCAAGAGCCATTTGGCACAGCCTCTCTGCCTCGTCAAATTGCATTGCTTGAAAGTTTGCTTCAGCCGCATACCGACAAGTTTCACCAACTCTTGGGTCTGTTTCTCCCAAAACCTTCCTTTGTATTTCCAACCCTGCAGTGTAGCACTTAATTGAATTTTCAAGCTGGCCCACCACGGCATAGATGTCTCCCAGTTGCATGTGACCAGCAAATTTAGCAATGGCATGTTGTTGGCCTTCCTCAATAACAGGAATCTCAATTGAGCGTTTTATAATTGGAATTGCCTCATTGAAATGGCCCAAGGTGCAATATATTGCTGCAGTAACATGGAAGCACATAACTATGTCTAAACTTGGTTTCCCATTAGCAGTCTTTTCAAACAATTTCACTGCTTGAAGAGCTAATTCAAGAGCTTTCTGCGGATTATCTCCTGATGAAATCATGTCCCTTGCTTGCTTTAGTAAAGCTGGTCCAAGTTCAGGTTTATATAATGCTGATTCGGTGGAATTCTCAACTCGAATTTGTGACACTGATCTTCCAACAGATTTTTTCACACGGGTAATACCTGAATTTTCTTTTCTCAAAGGATTATCATTCTTCCTATCAACAGGAGGTTTTGGAGGAGTACTTTTTCCTTTTGGTCTTGACTTTGATGATGTTTCTGAAAAAACTGAACTTGCAGTTGCAGGCCGAATCTTATCCAACTTCTTATCATTGGACAAACTACCCATTCTAGAAGATGCTTTACTGCTAGAATTCCCTTTTGTTTTCTTCTGCACTTCCTTTTTCCCTACCTCCACCACCAAAGTCTTTTCTTCAACCAGATTGTGCAATTCTGAATTGATTTTAGACTCATAACCAGCAGATCCAAGACTTCGCGTTGAGGATGATTGATCAGAACTTTGCATGTCACACACATTTTCAGAAAGCCTCTCAATGGAGGAAGTGTCAACCACCCCATCAACAGGAAGATTTGGATCAGCATTTTGGTGTCTTTGTGGACTCGAGGAACTCCTCGGGGACTTGATTGGTGTTAAGGTTTCCATAAAGGGGGAAGTGTTCCCAGTCCCACTCATTTCATTCACTTCCCCTTCATTATTTACTCCAGTTATAACAATCCCTGGCATCTTTGATTCCCTAGTAACCAGAATCACTGAGACAACCAATGTGTAACAGAGAATACACAACATAAATACTAGTCAATATCCACCATGTACCAGAAAAAAAGAGGGACTTTAAGGAAAAGCATGTTATAACTGGAAGTCATGACAAGAATGCACTTGAAGCAACAAAGAAAAAGGAAATCATATCTACAACATCAGAGAGATGGCACAATATGTTGATTCATTAATTGTTATACTATTCTATTGATGAATATAGCACGGTTATTCCAACGCATGATTAGTTCAAAGCACATGCATAAAAGTGGCGCCGTAGTTTTGGGTTTTATGCATTTCCTTGTTATTGTGGACAACGATAGAATACCCATTGGATAACTCCAATAATTTTTGACATGACATAACCAAGGCGTACACGATTCATTATAAATAAAAACACAAATCCATAACCAAGAATGTAACAAAATAAAGGGTAAGAAAATCAATATAAAGCGCATATATATGTTTCATTTTGTCCTTTCCCCGCCTTGGGATTATGAGGCATGAACGATAATGGATTCAAATTTCAAACAAGAAGTTAAAAGTTAAGAAGATATACCTAAACAATGAACACCAAAGCAAGGCAATGATGTGAAGGGATGTATTAGGAAAAATTCCAAACTTTTTTGGAGACAATGAAATGTAAATTTTACGAAGCGCAGAGAATTGAAGAGAAGGAAAATTTTCGAATTTTGGGTTTTGGAGAAAATGCTGAATTAAGAGGGTATTTTGGTTTCGCAGAGTTGGAAGGGAATGTCAAGGTGCTTTTCTTCCCAAACCAACCGCGCGCAACCTGCAACTGCCGTTGTTCCTTTTGTTTGTTTCCTTTTCTATTCGTCAGACAATCCTCAGAATGCCACGTGGCGTCCTCACATTTCAATTTGGCATAAGGACGGTTGTGCCCCTCAATAACATGCATAGCAATTTTGGTAACTAGAACAGCACTTCCTGCGCAGTTACAAAAAAAGAAAAAGAGAAGAAGATGCAATTTCCGAATAAAATTTTCATTTTTCATGTTAAAGTTGCAATATTACTGTTTGAAAAGTGAAAAAAATACCCCCAAACAATTATTTGGAGATATTTATTATATAGAGATGAGGACTGTGTATAAGTAATTGAAATTATATATATATATATATATGAGAAAGATATTTTTATTAAATACGGTTAAATAATAAATTATAATTTGTTAAATATAAATTAAATAAAAAATTTAAATTAAGTGTAAGAAGATTCTATATATATATATATATATATATATATATATATATATATAAAAGTTAATTTAAGTGATATTTATTTTTCTGCAACTTATAAGCATAGTTGTTTTACCATTTAAAATTTATCATTTTCAATGCTCTGATACAAAATAAGTAACTTTTTTTTTTTTAATTTCTCAAAAATTTGGTCCATGACTAATACACAGAAGTTTTTAATCTGCTGTGGTTAAAATATAAATATAAGGAGAATTTTGGCTCCATTTCAAAATTCACAACAATCAATTCTTAGAATCGAAAAAAAATCACATTCATTTAATATATTTCATAATTTGTGCATATTATATAAATCATTGATTTTATTTTATTTTTTCATTTTAGATATAGTTTCTTTTAAGATATAGTTTCTTTTAACCAACTAAGAAACAAACAACCATTAAGTCATAGTTGGTTGCTATCATCAAATTACTAACATGAGATACCTTCTTAAAAACATCCTCATAAATTATAGTTTAGTTGATAAGAAAGGATAAAATAAAAATAAATATAATAATATAATATAGTTTAATTATATTAATATTTAGATTATTTATTTCATTACATTTTTTTGTCATTTCATTTCATCATTATTATTAGATATCAAATATTATCTCAACCTTTAGTTAAAAATTAAAAATTAAAAATTAAAAATTAAAAATTAAAAATCATCACCATGAAACTATTTAATTTCATCCAGCCCCTTTTTTAGGAAGGAAAGGTTGGAAACCTTTCCCATTAATATTTTAAAAAAAAAAGATAATTAATTTGAAAGAAATACTGTCAATAACTTAGTACATATCGGTGAGAAGTTAGGTCTAATAAAAAAAAACAGTTAATTTCCTACAAAGATAACAAACTTTGGTTCAAATTTTTATTGGAAGAGATATTTATAATTAGTAACTAATTTATCTTTAAAAAGACTGTTTTTTATGGAAAGATATTTATGAAAGGTAAATTTAGCACATCTAAAAAATTGTTGATAGTGTAAATTTATCTTAAAATGCTACATTAGGATGGTTTATTAATTCCTGTTACTCAAATATAGGGGTCATCATGTTGCAAAGAGAAGCAACTGAGTTTAAAACACTACAATATTGGAGGATACTTTGATACATTGTCAAGCGATTATAACAAAAAAGATCTCATTTTTGGCTTCCTCAAAATGTGGTTAGGATATTTCTAAGAAAAAACACATCTAAGAAACAATGTCCCACGTGTGTTACATAGAGATGAAACACATTTAATTATTACTATTAAGTCACCCAGTCCCCCCTCAAACTTTTTCAATGGTGTCTCCTCTCGCGTCATATCGTTCATTGTCCGTCGGTGACTTCATAAGGTCCAAGTTTCTTTGTTCATTCTTTATATTGCCCGATTCATGGGATATTTCCCCCCCTCAACAATCATTACGCGTTCTTAGAAAATATCCTCCAAACAAAGAAATGCTATGAGATGTTACTAAAGAATCTTGGATTTGATTTCTCCTTATAATTGCTGGGACTAGCTTAGCCACTCTCGTTATTGTTACTAGGCAAGTCTTTCTGTTTCCAAGATATGATAAATTTAGACGTTATGTTTGCTTGTCCATTTGGTGAGGGAGTTGAGATTTAAGAAAAGCTGATAAAAATTATATGATAAAACTGACAGCTATGGGATTTGAACCCACGCCCTTTCGGACCAGAGCCTAAATCTGGCGCCTTAGACCACTCGGCCAAACTGTCACTGCATTGCCATCTCACCAATTTATATATATTTGATTGACATTTATGGAAAACTTTGTCATTTATATCATAATTTTTTTCTATGAACTCTCATTTGCGTATTAAAATCATGACAACTATTTATTTCCATGTTACCTTACCTTTCAGTTTCTAACAAATAGTTTACCATACAGGCTACAAACATAAAGATTGATTAAAGATACAAGTTTATTTCTATTTTTTCGAAGTTGTAAAAGCGTTATTTTACATATTTTATACACAAAAATGTGTGGGGAATTTATATATATATATTGAAACAAAATAGATAATATTTTTCATTAAATAATTTCTAATTTTTTATAATATAAAGACGTTTTTGTTTAAGATAACATCTCAATCTTGACTTAATCAACAAAATTATGTGAAGTAATTCTACTAAAAAAGTTTAGTAGTAATGTATTATTAGTATTTTTATACTATCAATCAATTAAAATATGTTATAAATATAATTTTTATATTTATTATTATAAAAATAAATAATTTTTTCTGATATAACAATATATGATTAAATAAATAATTAATGTATCGAAATTAAATTTGAAGTAGAATAAGAATTTTCCACTCATCACCTCTTCACAAATTGTCTTTCCAAATTCTTAGTATAACTATCATTAATGTTAACATGTTTTTACAATCATGTCTTGCGATTATAAAGATAAACAAAAAGGATGACATATTTACATTGTGAAATAAATAGACGAATTGGTGAAGTTAAAGAATGAGACTGGTTTGAGCTTTTTTTTTTATTTTCCCTTTAATTATAAAGATATCACTTTATTTTATTTTCCATTTTGAAATATTTGTTTAAAAAATGTGAAAAATGAATTTTTATTCTTGTATATAAAAAAGAAAATAAAAAAAATAGCATTTTTGTAATAAAAAATAAAACATGAAATAAAATTAGGAAATATTTTCCAAATCAGTAAGCAGGCTCTGAAATTCTTTACTTAAAAAGAAAAAAAAAATACGGAAGAAGATTGTATTTATTAATTAATTAGACATATTTTTTGTTCTTGGGGTTGATTTGATACAATTCATGTCACATTCTTGAAACGAGGATCCTAAGGTTTGCAAGAAGCAGATTTATTAATTAGCAGCATTACATTGTGGTAAGCATCTGAGAATTCTATTATTTGAACGTGGTTTGTAAGTGGAGAAAAATTCAGGATCCTGCTCAATTGCTTCAGTATAGCTCTCCAAAATTGAGACTATCTCATCAAAATGTGGCCGTTTATCTGCATTGCTCGACCAGCATCTGTTTATGAGATGACTAAATGCTTTTGGACAGTCAGATGGTAAAGGAGGCCTTGCATTCTGCAAAAAATCCACCAATTTGAGTTATAGAAATTGACCCAAAAAATGTATATATAATTGACGTAGCACCACCTCAATCATTTTTAGTAAAATCGAGGAGAGAGCTAGCATTATATGAAGCATTTCCAAAACATATTATAATTGCTTGGCTTCAAAAATCCTATGGTAAAATACCAACATAACCCCATCTTCAGTTATTTAGTATTTTATACAATTAACGCGAAACTTTATATTGGTATTGATCCATATATATATAGAACCCGTTACTTGATTTTGGTACATCGTGCGATGTTCTGTGCATGTGAGAGAAAAGTTAGGGGTGGTGGCAATAAATCAATATTGATAGCAGATACCGAATCTCGAAGGTGTTAAAAGCGTAAGGATCATCTGGATGTCTGGCAAAATAGAGAGGCCCCTACCCTTAGTGTAATATAATATATTTAATGAGGTTTCTTGCTTTGATAAGCACCACATACTCTGTAAAGTTCACACCATCATAGCCAATGAGTGGTAATTGCCAATCATAGCCAGAAGGATTTGGGACACATCAGTCAGGAAAAGTACCTACGCAAATTACAGTAGATAATAGAACTCAACACGTAAACATGTATGCATTCAAAATGTAAAACTTAGTCCTCCTAGCACCATCACTATGTATGATTTGGACGAGTAGTTAATATAACTGATCTGAAAAAATGGACAAGAAAGGATATGAAAAGCAATTATAATAGCAGTGACGCAAGATTTAGGCAGACTATTTCTAAACAAATTCATATAACATGTAACAGTTTCTTAGATGAGCATAAGCTGATTCCTACACTTCAATTTTATATACTAGAAATGAAATAAGCTTAACTCACTTTGAAAAAACTAGTTCAAAGGCCATTCTTATGCTTAGGATTGAACGTGAACATGCTAAATATGCTCTCAAAAGAAATTTTTTAAGTCTTATAAGTGTATTTTGATCATATTTTTAACTAATATTGGACATCTAAACATTGTATATACAACGAGAAAATGTTCCATAGGATTAACTAAATTTGGAGGCAATACAATTAGAATACCTTGTGGGTGACTGCATAAGCTGCCTGTTCAGGTGTCATGTTGTCAAATGGTGTCAATCCTGTTAGCACTTCCCATAAAACTATGCCAAAACTATAGACATCTACTTTCTTGGTATGACGCTTTTCCTTGATCATTTCAGGTGCCATCCAGCGGTATGTTCCGGTGAATCCTTTGGCACTACCAGTCTGGGATTCCAAGCATGAGATCCCAAAATCTGCTACTTTTACACACATATCTTCCCCCAACAGCAGGTTTTCTGATTTGAGATCCCTGTGAAGTATACCTTGTGAATGAAGATATTGCATTCCTCGTGCAATGTCAAGGGCTAATTTTAGAACAAGTATGTGAGGAACTGAATGTGGTCCTTGCTGATGCAAGTATTTTCTCAAGGACCCCCCAGCCAAATATTCTGTAATTATACAGAAAACGGGAGGTTTCTTGCAAGCTGCAACAAACTGTAGGAGCAACTCAATGTCAATTTCTTTATTATTCATCACTTGCAAACTTAACCCATAAAGCATTCTCATCTCTATAAAAAAAACTCTAATCTTAGCATTAATTGCTAGCACACTTGTAATAGGCCACGATCCACAATATATATTTCAAAGAGAATGAATTCACCGACTAAAACACCTTTTGCTCAGCACATGTTGAAAACTCATCTATACTCCATAATTCCTTTTTACTAATAATTGATTCATTTTTAAGATTTGATCAAGAAATTACATATTTCAGATGAAGACACCCCTTTTATTAAAATCACCCCTCCCCATTTTTCTATCCCTCCAATTAAAAAATAACACCTCAACAGAATAAAAAAAACAAGAAGAGAATATTACCGACGTGTCAGTTTTATATCAAAGAAGTAGTTAGGTGTAGACATGGTTTCATATGTCTATCTCTTAACACGTACACCTTTGAGCCACACCAACATATAAAAACGTAAATGGTCGTGCTCGAAACGAATATATGATAGAAGGAGTGGAGATCAAAGTTAGTATAGTACATGATATATATTCCATGCAGAAATAGAGATGGGTAAAGAAACAGAGCTTACAGTAATGATATTTGGATGGCGCAATCGAAAAAGCAAAGCAACCTCTGAAGTAAACTGCTTCTCAAGCAAAACAGCTAAGTCCTCATCCTCTTCAGGTTGACTTACCAACTTAATTGCAACATCCATGTGCTTGTAGATCCCTCTGTAGATTCTGCTATGCCTGCCAGAAGCGAACTTTGACCCAATGAACAACTGAGACATATCAGCACTCCATTCTTCCTCTCCTTCTCCCTTTATGGCTGCCCCGGATGAGATCAGATACTTTGACCATGACACTGCTCGCTTGTATTCCCCAAGTGAAAGCCTTCTACCTGATCTCACGTTGTTAGAAATCTCTTTAAACCAATATAAGTTCTTCTTCATGCTTACGGAAATCATCAATTTTTCTTTCAACCACCCCTTCAACCCAATGTAGACTAGAGTTTTAAACTAATGCAGAATACCCAGTTTGAAAAATCTTGTTTTTTTTAGTTCCCTAAGGTAACTAACTACATTTTGAATGATCCTCGCCGTTTATGCATTAGGAAAAAGGAGAAAAAAGAAGAAGAAAGAAACAACTCCAATCCAAACCACCTCATCTATGTAATTGCGTATAGTATAACATAATTATATTATAGCTATACTTCGTCTTTTATTGGAGAGAGATTTGATCCGTTTTGTTGAGAAATGGTAATAATATAAGAAAAACAAAAAACCAAAGAAAAGATTTGCAAATGCTAGAGAGAAGATTTGAAGCAGAGGAAGGAGGGGGAGAGAGAGGGGTGGGTGGTGGTGTTGCCAATGCCAATGCCAATGCCACCTCTCTGAAAAACAGTGACTGACATTAGCATCTACGTTGCTAACGTGCGAAGATATACTCGTGAGGAGACAAAGTGGGTCAGCATGATGATGACCCCTACCTCACTTGCTTTCTTTTTTTGTTTCCAATTTCAACCCATGTTTCCCACCGCATTATCGCCACTGCCATATCACTAACCTCCAATTTATTTGTCACAATAGCCCCCTCCTTCCATTTATTATTCTTTTCTTTCTTGTCTTGCCCCTCCACGTGTTATGTAGCGTTGAGCCTTCCAACTTTGTCACTCATTCCCCACCCGATTACTATTTTACTTTTACCGTAACACATTTTATTTTTGTTCAAATTTCATCGTCCCACTACTATTTTAATAACCTCATACCAATTTTATTATATTCTCTTTTCTTTTATAAAACTCTATCGGCTACTAGCTTGTTTGTTTCACATTTTTACAACATTTTGACCACAGGAAAAAAATAAAATTCCAGCTTTTATTTGGTTGGGATTTTCATTTTTCTAATGGCAAATGACCAAATTTCTCGTCCCAAAGCAAGATAAACTCACCCTACTGTAATCTTTTCCTGTAACGTGTATGCTTTTACGTTTGCGTTTGGTGGCATATAAACCAAATATTCTGTAACTTGTTCTTAATTTAGCCTTTTGTTGTGAATGTTTTCCAGCCAATGGCATTAAAAAATATGAGAATTGCTAGTTGTGACGAATTCTTTCTCATGACAAAGTCAGATTGAGCTGGCTTTGTGATATAAACATTAAATGTTCTGTTTTTAACCTTACAAAAAATTCTTTTTTAACCAGCAACTTAGTGAATAAATAAGACAGCTAAAAACGGCATTTAAGTTGTATGCTTTGAACGATTAGGGTAAATTTCTACCAATTCCTTTCGTAACAAATACTATTTTCTAAAAATTAATTATTAACCGACATTTTGGCAATACACGCGATTTAATAACTTGATAAACTTGTTTACGTAAATTGTTAAATCAATAAATGTGATGTGATATTATTTACTATACAACTTATATATAAATTTTTTACATGAATTGTGTGCTATACAACCCTATCAAATGCATAAAACGATACAATTTTTGTTTATCAAAATTATGACTTAAATGGTGTTGTTTCAATTCAGTGAAATAAACAAAAGAATATATTGTTTTGTCTTTCATGGAATAATCGCCCAAAATAGAAGTCATGTTGTTAACTAACAACTTCATATCAACTTGTGTTTATTAGACTAAGAAATCTTGACTATCACTAATAAATATTGTAAGACTTAAAAATAAATAATTATTACTTTTTTATAATTTATACCGAAGTTTAACTATCCATAATTTTTTTTTGTTCGATTTAAACTATATTAATAATAAGTAATTAAATTTAAATTTTCTATGATAATTATTTTAACATTGCCTTACAAATACCTATACATTATTGGGAGACACAATTAAGTACTTGTTTGAACTACGAAGGTAAAATTATTAATATCCACAATTATTCGTGAATAAAACTCGACATTGAATAGATTCGGAGGTGAGTTGTTTTCTTTTTCAACTCACACGTGTTTAAATTTTTAGACCCATTTGTTATATAAGATGTAGTAAACATTAAAGTATTTTATTATAAAAAAAATTGTTATATATTAATAAATAAATATTGCCAAGTATTAGAATAATTTTATCTAAAAAATAAATAAATATCTTTTTAATAAAAAATTTAAAAATTTATACTTACAAATAATAAATTAAGTATATTAATATTTACTGTATTAATTATATGTATTATTTACCAATAAATTTTTTTATTTATATAATACATCATATTATCAATATAAACTCATAATGTTTATACTAATAATTTATTTATTTTTTCAATAAAACATTCTAACAAGTACTAGTTTAATATTAAAATATTGATAAATAATTTTTTCGTACTGTTCGTACTTATATACAGTTGATAAACAGAATTATTTAAAAATCCTGAACTATTTAAATAAAAATTCAACCTGGTTTACTTCTTATTAATTAATATTTATAGAATTTTTTCAGTTATTTATTTGTAAATTGTAATAATACAAAAAAAATGCTCGCAAATAATAATTAAAATTCACAATCACATCAAGATTGGCAGATGAATACCTTGAAGAGTTTAAGTTTTCATTTGTGAGTACAAATAAGAAAATGATTTGAAAATTAGTCACTCGAAATAAAATATATGATTTAAATTAAAAGTTTAAATATAAATTAAATTTAAACTTTATTAATTTAATTTCATTAAGTTTGAAGTAAATTAAACTTGTAAAAAAAATTAAAATAGTCTTTAAAAAAAAAATATACTCAACTTAAACATCATTCCACGAGTTCAAATTGAATTCAATTATTTTTCGGTTCACAAAATTTTTTTGAGTGTAAATGATTGACTTTAATAATTCAAGTAACCCATTTTATTTATCAGCTCTCTATTTATGAATCTGGATAACGCAGAGCTAGCTATCATCATTATAGAGCAAAACTAATAAGTGTTGTATACGCATTTTTTATTTTCGTTTTTGGGAAAAAAAAGTTTAAATATGAGGAGCACTAATTGTTTGTAGAAGCATCCGTATTTTAATGTAAATTAATGTTTTTTAAATAATATTTTATCGTTAATGGCCAGAGAAAAAAAAGTTAATTAAAGTTTTTTATTTGCTTTTTTTTCATGATAAAAGTATTATTTAGATAAAAAAGAAGATAAACAAATGAAAATGCACGGTCTAAATATGTTTCATTTTTAGTATACAACTTTCTTTTATCAATATCTTATTGATGCATATGATATTTATTTAATTTTTAATTAAGGAATGTCTTATATTTAAATTTTATATATAACAAAATCTATATGTTAGCAATACACTTTTAACATAAAATTTAAAAATAATTAATATTTTTTCAATTTAAATGTTAGCTATAAGAATATTTATTAAGAAATTAATAAATATTTTTTTAACTATTACCTTTATTAACATTATATATATATATATATATATCATACAATTTACCCACGCGAGATAATAATACAAAATTTCACACTCATGTACATAAATATGAATAAGAAGGATAACGTGAATTTTTGGAATTGTATTTGATATTTTAATAATAAAAAGAATGTTTTTAAATTTTATTAGTTATGTAATACGTTGGTTAACGGAAAAATGTTAATAACACATTATTTAATATTATTTTTAATTATTAAATAAAATTAATTTAAAATTAATAAATATTGAATAATTTTAATTAATAAAAAGAATTTATTAAAAAGCATATTAAAATATAACTGAATACTGTTGACACGTCAAGCAAGTGAAATATTTTTATTGTAATTAACTAGTAGTATTTAAAAATATTTTAAAATGAAAAGTTGAATAATTTGTTATAATTATAAAAAGGAATATATTTATGATTAATTTTAAAAAATGAAATGAATTAAAAAATAAGTGTTCTAATAATAGAATTTGAATTTATCTGGGCAGGGTCATTGTCAGCAGTGGAATGGGTTTTTGGCAGCGTTGGGTGAAAGTGGGAAAGAAAGGGAGAGAAAAGCTCTAAACCAGTAACATTGTCTTCACTTTGACCATCATCCGGTGTGCCCTTCATAGGGGTAACTTCGTCAATTCATTCTGTGGGCCATTCCTTTGCTGCGTCATTGTGTCGGACAATCCGTATCTCGTTATGGTCCTCTTCCGTATACGGTCTACTCCTCCTTCTTTTTCTTTCTTTTTACTCTTTTTCATGTCATTTCGTTATTTTTATTTTGTTTTGGGTGAACACCACCCTTCCATTTACTTCTGATAATGTCAATTTTCTCATAAATGCATGTTTATAAGTTCATTTATTTGAGTGCATGTTTAGTTTGATCTATTTTAAAGTATTGTTTCTTTTTAATAATTTTATAAACAAGTTTTTAAAATGAGTGATTATATTTTTAAATAAAATTACCTTATACGGACATGTTTAGTGAAACTCAATTTAAACGATATAAGATATACTTAGAATACAGAATCACACAACAATTTTGCATAAGATAAATAAAATTAAAAGTTTACTTTGATAATCCACACAATGAAGACAATATTAGTTATTAAATTAATAATAAAATATGAGCAGTACAAATATTAATTTATAGTAAAACAACGGATTGAATATTTTCTTCTCCTATAAAATGCATATAAAAAGACACAGGAAACCATGAGAGAAACTCCTCCTTTCATGCTGCAACTCTTACTGCTATGCTACAGTGTTGCCTTTCAATAGTCAACATCTAGTTTTAGCTTACTCGGTATATATCCAGTGCAAAAAGATTGACAAAGTTATATTTGACCAGCAGTCTTTGGTTATACGTGAATGTAGGCATAGTGGATTCGAAGAATCCTAGCTTGTATAAATAGAGTCATATTTACCAACAATATAATTTTCAATTTTTAAAAAATATTAATATAATATGTCATTATGTAAACTATCAATTAAGCATAGAGAATAAAAAGAATACAGGTTTGATGGATATTTCAATTAGATTAATCGATCTTTAAAAGAAAAAGCTTTTGAAAAAATGAATTTATCGTTAATGTTTTTGGTATGATATGGTATTATCTTGATTCTAGCTTAAAACGGCACTCCCAGGGTGAATTGAAGGTGAATGATGTGATATTGGTGGCGCCATGTGT